GGTGAGTGATGTGGGTGAGTGATGTGGGTGAGTGATGTGGGTGAGTGATGTGGGTGAGTGATGTGGGTGAGTGATGTGGGTGAGTGATGTGGGTGAGTCATGTGGGTGAGTCATGTGGGTGAGTGATGTGGGTGAGTGATGTGGGTGAGTGATGTGGGTGAGTGATGTGGGTGAGTGATGTGGGTGAGTGATGTGGGTGAGTGATGTGGGTGAGTGATGTGGGTGAGTGATGTGGGTGAGTGATGTGGGTGAGTGATGTGGGTGAGTGATGTGGGTGAGTGATGTGGGTGAGTGATGTGGGTGAGTGATGTGGGTGACTGATGTGGGTGACTGATGTGGGTGACTGATGTGGGTGACTGATGTGGGTGACTGATGTGGGTGACTGATGTGGGTGACTGATGTGGGTGACTGATGTGGGTGACTGATGTGGGTGACTGATGTGGGTGACTGATGTGGGTGACTGATGTGGGTGACTGATGTGGGTGACTGATGTGGGTGACTGATGTGGGTGACTGATGAGGGTGACTGATGAGGGTGACTGATGTGGGTGACTGATGTGGGTGACTGATGTGGGGTGACTGATGTGGGTGAGTGATGTGGGTGAGTGATGTGGGTGAGTGATGTGGGTGAGTGATGTGGGTGAGTGATGTGGGTGAGTGATGTGGGTGAGTGATGTGGGTGAGTGATGTGGGTGAGTGATGTGGGTGAGTGATGTGGGTGAGTGATGTGGGTGAGTGATGTGGGTGAGTGATGTGGGTGAGTGATGTGGGTGAGTGATGTGGGTGAGTGATGTGGGGTGAGTGATGAGGGTGAGTGATGAGGGTGACTGATGTGGGTGACTGATGTGGGTGACTGATGTGGGTGACTGATGTGGGTGAGTGATGTGGGTGAGTGATGTGGGTGAGTGATGTGGGTGAGTGATGTGGGTGAGTGATGTGGGTGAGTGATGTGGGTGAGTGATGTGGGTGAGTGATGTGGGTGAGTGATGTGGGTGAGTGATGTGGGTGAGTGATGTGGGTGAGTGATGTGGGTGAGTGATGTGGGTGAGTGATGTGGGTGAGTGATGTGGGTGAGTGATGTGGGTGAGTGATGTGGGTGAGTGATGTGGGTGAGTGATGTGGGTGAGTGATGTGGGTGAGTGATGTGGGTGAGTGATGTGGGTGAGTGATGTGGGTGAGTGATGTGGGGTGAGTGATGTGGGTGAGTGATGTGGGTGAGTGATGTGGGTGAGTGATGTGGGTGAGTGATGTGGGTGAGTGATGTGGGTGAGTGATGTGGGTGAGTGATGTGGGTGAGTGATGTGGGTGAGTGATGTGGGTGAGTGATGTGGGTGAGTGATGTGGGTGAGTGATGTGGGTGAGTGATGTGGGTGAGTGATGTGGGGTGAGTGATGTGGGTGAGTGATGTGGGTGAGTGATGTGGGTGAGTGATGTGGGTGAGTGATGTGGGGTGAGTGATGTGGGTGAGTGATGTGGGTTAGTGATGTGGGTTAGTGATGTGGGTGAGTGATGTGGGTGAGTGATGTGGGTGAGTGATGTGGGTGAGTGATCTGGGTGCGTGATGTGGTGTGAGTGATGTGGGTGAGTGATCTGGGTGGTGTAGGGGTGGTGTGGGGGTGGTTGGTGATTGGATGTTGTGAGTGGTATGCTGGGTGATTGGTGGTTTTGTTGATAGTGCTAGGAGATAGTGTGGTAGGATTGTAAGAGATGATACACGTGTAAGTACATGGAGGTATTTCAGTGCAACAATAATATGATGATCCTCTGTAAGATCGCACAAATTAAAAGACAGCTAATGCAATAAAACCGACGTAATACATCAATATTTGACTGTAATACTATACACACCTTATAAAATTGTAAAAGCATTTGTAAACACAAAACTGTTTAAAATAGTGTATTGTATAAGAGGATAGTTTTAAAATCAAGCAAGCTAACAAGAAAAAAAAAATAGACACATTTGTCACAAAACGTGCATTGCAGTGTTAAAAAAGTTCTTTTGAAAAGTTAAAAATTTAGGAAACTGATGAAATTGGCATGTTTGATGGTCCCATCTGAGTTAGCACCTGGTCCAACCACTGCAACGGCCCATTCAAGTGGACCTCAATCCAACATGGCGTCGACGTCACATCCTGTCTCTGATACTCCGCCCCCCAGCCCTTGACAAAACTCATGCGGATGACGCACATTTTACTTAACTCGTAGACAGCCTCAAACCCGGAGTTCACAGAATTCGTCAACAGTGAAGCAAAATCCGTGTTGCTGAATATTTTGATCTTTGACCCCGGTGGCAGCTTGCAAACCGTGTTGGGGCGGAACCCGTGGAAATAATTGCAGATTCGGCTTTGAACAAAAATCGAACTATCACTGAGGCACTCGGCGTACACCTCCCCGCCGTAGTAGTAAAGGTGGACGCCCTTTCCAATATGGCGACGAGTGTTTTCTATCGTGGAGTTTCGGTGTACGTTGGAGAGGCTGCCCAGACAGAAACGGTCTAAAGAGGAGGGCGCGGTTCCGCCGTCGATGAAGATGCTTTTTGGTGTGGCCTTGAACTGTTCACCTACACGGCCGTTCAGTTCGTAGTAAACGATATTACACCAATGCGGGGCTTCGTGGTACCTGATGGGGAGAAAGTACACTGATCCAGAGTCTGGGAAATGGGCTTGTGGTTTGAGTAGTTCCTCGTGGGATTGGTAGGCTGGCGGGGGCGTGTCTGACGGAAGGGCTTGGGGGCTGCCAGAACTGTAGCTGCAGGCTGAGGGTGAGGTTTGCATGTTGCAGGTCCCCGGGGAGGAGTGTTGGATGTCGTAGGGGTTGGGGGAGGTGTTTTGAAGACCGCAGGGGCTGGGGGATGTGTTTTGAAGACCGCATGGACTTGGAGAAGTGTTTTGACTGCTGTATGGATTGGGTGACGAGTTCTGTATGGTGTACGAGCTGGGCGAGAGAGTCTCGTATTTACACTGTCCTGGTGACGCGTGTTGAATGTCGTACGGGTTAGGCGATGACTGCAAGAGCTGGTTTGGTGACGGATGCTGGACGTCAAAGGCACTACAATACCCTGGTGAGTTTTGCTGCATGTCGAACGGGTACGTCACGTTTAAAGGCATTATCGGTTCTGGGATGGCCTGAAACCGTGAAACTGGCTGTTGTTCAAAAGCGCAGTCGTATCTAGGTACGAGAACTGGTGGTAGGTTTGGACTCTCGATTCGGCGATAGTGGTACGGGTTGATGCAGACTTCTTTCGTGTGTTCTTTACCGCTGAACGGAAACTGGCAATTGTCCAGAGCTTTTAACTCGTGGTGAGACTGGACATCCGGCCAGCGCCAGACACGGCAGTAGATCACATGTGGCAGACCTTTTCTACAGTCCACTTGCAGACGACCGTCCAAAGAACGGGGGATGGTGACGCACTTGGAGTTAGGATCCCGGGTAGCCAGCGCCTTCTCCAGTTCTTCTATAGAGCCTTTGGTTTTCTTGAGCTTCTTGACCAGCACGTCCACGGCTTTCTCGGCCCATTTGGATTTCTCTTCCACCTGTTTCCAGCCCAGGAGTTTCTTTGACGCCGGGTTGGAGAACGAGAACACGCCAGAAAACGCTGGCATCGTCAATGTATGTGTCGTCTCAAACAGGAAAATCTGGAGAAAAGAATAAACAACTGTAATGTAAACCTGGTAATTAAACTAAATCATTCATTTACAAATATCCAGAGTAACTTGATACATTTGAAATTACAAAAATAAGTGTAATGTAAACATGTGGTTAAATTAGGAAGTATCACCCAGACAATGGAAAAGTGACAAAAAGTTCGCAGAAAAAAAAAAAACAATTATACACGAGCCGACCCGCGGCGTATCATACGGCGCTATTTAGTTGATTTATTCAGTAATTTTCAGTAATTCATAATCTGTGAATTCGACAGTACCAATGCTGCCACTGAAAATATTTGCTTTAAAACACGAACCCCCCTTTCCCCTAACCCCGACCCTACATCCCCCCCCCCCCCCCCCCGTGAAAGCAGCCTCGTCTTAGTTACCGCCTGTAAGTTTAAAATCGTTTCAAACTAAATTATCTGCCCCTAATAGCCGTCACTAAACCGGCTATACGATTTGTAAACATTTAATTTAGCATGACCACAACTCACCAGACCATGTGGGGGTGGGGTGTGGGTGGTAGTGATAGTGATAGTGATAGAAAGAGGGGGGACTGTAATGAGGCGCTTGCAGCTTGTTTTCTAATGTCTCCCAGAAGAGAATTATATATATAGATAGATATATAGATACGCACATTTTTAACCTTAGTAGTTATAACCAATGAGCTATAGAAAATCATATAAATGAAGTTCAATGTATATTGCAAAACATTTTTACTAATTTTTTGACCAACATTATTTTTTTTTGCTAGAGATCGAAGCTGAAGTTTTCTAACATTTAAGCATTGTCTGCAAAGAGATGTTTAACATGGTTATGTATGGCTGGAATTACCAGATTTAAAAAAAATAGCTTTATTTCCAATTAAAACAACTAACAGTGTTTCTTCCCGACGTTTTTCTATATAAACTATATATTATTTCGTTCGGGTAGGGGGGGGTTGATTTTCCACCCCACCAGAAGAGATGCCTTGAAGAAACTCTGAACATCAACAGCAACATAGTTTACATAATTTGAAACATCAAATGATATCAATGAATTTTATAAAAGTAGCCTATATTTACATGATGGCATATGTGTTGTTATACAACATTAAAACAGATAAAACAGTTAATGGGGTAAAGGTGAAATGAAAGGGTTAGAATATGGGTGAGGAGTGGAGCGGAAGTCGTTAAAGTGGCAGGGTGGCTGGGGAGAGTCTATGAGGTACTGAAACGTATCCCTAGTAGGGAGACAAATGTTTTGGTTGGTTGAAAGAATGTTAGTTTTATCGAATCGAAGGGGTGGGGCTTACCAGAAAGGTTGCTGTGTGAGCGATTATTTGAAACTGATTGGGCGGGAGGGGGAAAAGTGGTGTGTTAGAGTCAGTAAACTGTGTCGTAACTGTGTTTGTTATGTAGGATCGCGATTTAGTACAAGGTGGGGGGGGGGGGGGTAAATCATTTACAAATATCCCGAGTAAATTTATATATATTAAAATAAAACATAAATATGTGCAATGTAAACCTGGGGTTCAAACTATATCATTTATATACACATCTTCAGAACTAAATTACAAATTTGACAGGTAAATTTTATATGCCTAGTTTTGACTTCCATGTCGTGTATAGTAACATATTTTGTACTGTACATAACGATAGACAATGATATATTGAACATATGTATAAAACATTTTGACGTTCAGCCTACCCATGGCTACGTGTAGTAAAATTAATCAATATACCGACTTAACGACATTTCTCTATACGTATTCAATGTCAACATTTCAGCTAGATTTGTGATTTGTTAAGCTACATTACGTGAGCTACTGTTTTTGTCATGTGTTAAGGGGAGTGTAGTATATGTTTGCTGGATGGGCATATTTCCTTTTACTTAAATTACTAGTTATTATGTCATTTTAATTCGCCACTCTCATTTTACTTGATGAACTAAATCAACTGAAAAAAAACCCAATATACAATGTATTCTTACCTCATAAAAAAATGGCCGATTCTAGCCGGAGAAAAAAATATGCATGCGCAATGGAGAGAAACTACCGCCATCATTCGCGGTGATGTTTTCGATGTTTCTGCGCATGCGTGTAATAACAAGCAAACCGCAGAACTCTACCTAACTAGTTATTAAGTTCACTGCGCATGCGCAGAACTATTAAGTTTCGTATTTTCTACCCGAACATCTTTTTCCCGGTAGTCACTTCGTAAAACAAATATAGCCAATCACTACCTATCATAAGAGACGGTATGATATTGCAGACCTAAGACTTGCTATTTCACCAAACAACCCTATTCATGAAAAAAAAAACAATACGACCCTTACAATCGCTCGCGTCCTATGACACATTTTGACCCAACCCTCCCCCACCCACCATATTGCGGCAACCTGTATCCATTCATGTGTTTAAGCCCCCCCCCCCCCCCCGCCCACCCACACAGTTGGCTTGCAGTGACCAGCCTTAACCTGACCTAAAATCAGAGTTGCTTCCATGCATCTCTTCGGAAGAAAGTCTCCGCCCCCCCCCCCTTAACGAGATGGATTTTATATAGTAAACATACACTTATACTAGTGTCCGCCCCCCCCCCCCCGAAAATTTTAAGAGCCCCCCGGAGAAAAGTCTGGAAGAAACACTGCCTAAAATAACGTCCACCATATATTTTCCGTATTTATCCCCGACTGAGGGTTACTACGTAGTATGGAACATAAAAATAGTGTCTTCAAAATACTGACAATTTTTCAGCTAAACGAAAAAACATGTCCATACTAAAATATAATATTTAAAGCATGCTTTTTCAAATGTAAAATGAGATTTAAAACGGAGATAAAACTATTCGATGTGTATACATATATCCATCGTGTTTTTAAACACTACATTATAGAGAAAACGCCTATACAATAATTTAGACAATTTTTAACAAAGAACTAGATTGAACAGATAGATGTAGGTGCAGAGGCGTAGCAGGGGAGGGGGTGCGGACCGCACCGGGTGACACCATTTAGGGGGTGACACCAAGGCAAAAAATAGCTAAATATATAGAGAAAAACTTGAGGGGGGCGTGCAAATCGAAAGTTTGAGGGGGGTTGCAAATCGAAAGTTTGAGGGAGGGGGGTGCAAATCAAAAGTTTGCGGGGGGGGTGCAAATCGAAAATTCGAAAGTTTGTCCCCTGAAAGGGTCGCTACGCCTCTGGGGGGTGACACCATTTAGTGCCGCACCGGGTGACACCCGACCTCGCTACGCCACTGTGTAGTAGGTGTATATGTTATTTCATGTATGGGAAAAGAAGTGTTGGGGTTGCTCACTTATTCGTTATACGACATTACTTTCTTAATCACTACGATTCAAGTTTCATAAACATAACGCAACTACTATATTCTTAACCATCTATTTTTATCAGTCGGTTGTCTCTCCGTACCCAACACATAGATCTAAAGCTGCTGACGTCATAAATATTCGCTCACTGAACAAAACAACATTTGCACTGACCGACCCAATGGTACATGTGTCAAATCCACGTGATATCACTTTACAATTACATTGGTAGACAATTGGACGCGTTCTCATTGGTTGAGGCTCTGTTGAGGGCTCGCCACAAACGTAAATGGAAAATGTATTATATGTTCGTAACCCCCCTCCCCAATAATGACTGTCTCAGGTGTTTGTCGGAGGTCAAAACAAAAACCCGACTCAAGATTCACAATCAGAATTTGTCAGTGCGGACGACACACTTGCAAGAAGGGTTTTATGTGAATGCGCGAATGAAATTTGTGGGGTTCGTTACTACCATTGTCTTACCTGAATATCCTTGTTTATGCACATGGATTATAAAAATATTTTAAACTAACAATTCCTAACTAATACCATATCCTAGCCCAACCACTAGCCTAAACTTGAAGTAAAATTCTAACAAAAAAAAACATAAAAACTTAGAAACCTATTGTATAGCGGAGTAGAATATAATGTTAACTACTACCCATTATTAACCCACTTTGTACATAACGCAATAAAGTTAACACTCAGACACAAACTGTATGGAACTTAGAATAGGCGTAAGACATCACAGAACTTACAATAATAATACAGACAATGCTTAAATAAACACCACTCAATGAACAAACAACTCTCCGGACTACAACCAATATTTTGTATAATCCCCACCACCAAAAGCCGCCGCATGCTTGTACCCTGCGGCTAGGCCTTTGAAGCATGGGTTCCTTTCTGTTTGTGTGATTATACGCGCTGAATAGCAGCAATAATATTTGGCGCGTCGCTAAGTCGAAGTGAGTGACGACAACAATGGTTAATGCGCCAGTACGTCTACTACTACACTAATATTTATATTGATTGTGTGTGTCTATGTTCTACCTTTGATGAGCTACTGTAATAGTGGAGTTGGACTTGTATATTATTTAACAATGCTATGGGCACACGACAAGGTTGAAGCGAATTAAGTAACACAATCTAAGCAATTAAATAGCATTTTAGCCCTAAAGTGCAGCATTGTGAATGACCAACATATAAAGGCCTACGAGTGATTTAAACCTAGTTAATAAACCTTTGCTTACTATTCATGGACAATGATATAATTGAAGAACTAACATTGTTTTAATGTACCTTTTAGTCATTTATTTACATTCGTGAAGAGATAACATTCATTTGCGAGAACACTTTATATAGTTAGTATTCCTAGTTGTAGAAAACTACATAATCTTTAAACGACGTAATGCTGCATGGGGGCAGGTGGGGGTTGGGGGGGGGGGTGATGAAGATGGGTTTGGCAATCGTAACAATGGTGTTTTTTATTGATGGCATCTAATAAACTATTTAAAGAGCAAAGCAATCTTTTTCTTACTCAACCAATAATAAATAAGTAGACCATTCTAGATTATTTAGCTTAGTGAATATAAATAAACAAATGAAAAACAATAACAATCACCAAATAAAAAAAAACTAATGATTAACAACGATAAATTATGTGAAACTGGCTTGGCACAAGGTAGTATATAAAGTTCACAAAAGAAATTCAGCGATTATAATTTAACCTATTTCGGCTAGTGGTAAACACAGACACATTGATTAATTAAACATTGAATATTTTTGCGGCGGGGAGTTTAATATAAACAATCTAAAAAAAATACTTTAAAGGCGTAAGGTAGTTTCAATAACGCATCATTCAAGAACAGATCAACAACTGGCAGGAGGTCGTAATTAAATTCAGTTACGTGTTAAAACTTTCGCTGACAATCGCAGATGGTGAACTGCCACCAACTAAGTGCTTGACTGCGAGACAAGACACGTGACCAATGGTTTCCTCACCCTGGTTAAACCCTTTCGCAATTTAACCCAACCACCCCCCCCCCAAGTAAAGTGAAATAATTGTGTTAAAATCGCGTAATTTGGAAACGGCATATACACATGTTTCACAGAAAATAGATAATCCGATTCATTATCTTCACGGGAAATATTACTTGAGATGTTTGCGGCAAGATAAACATTTGTCAGGAATAGTGTCGGGTCTAGTGACAAGTGTCGGGTCTAGTGACATGTGTCGGGTCTAGTGACAAGCCTCGGGTCTAGTGACAAGTGTCGGGTCTAGTGACAAGCGTCGGGTCTAGTGACAAGTGTCGGGTCTAGTGACAAGTGTCGGGTCTAGTGACAAGCCTCGGGTCTAGTGACAAGTGTCGGGTCTAGTGACAAGTGTCAGGTGTAGTGACAAGTGTCGGGTCTAGTGACAAGCGTCGGGTCTAGTGACAAGTGTCGGGTCTAGTGACAAGTGTCGGGTCTAGTGACAAGTGACGGGTCTAGTGACAAGCGTCGGGTCTAGTGACAAGCGTCGGGTCTAGTGACAAGCCTCGGGTCTAGTGACAAGTGTCGGGTCTAGTGACAAGTGTCAGGTCTAGTGACAAGTGTCAGGTCTAGTGACAAGTGTCAGGTCTAGTGACAAGTGTCGGGTCTAGTGACAAGTGTCGGTTCTAGTGACAAGTGTCGGTTCTAGTGACAAGTGTCAGGTCTAGTGACAAGTGTCGGGTCTAGTGACAAGTGTCGGGTCTAGTGACAAGTGTCGGGTCTAGTGACAAGTGTCGGGTCTAGTGACAAGTGTCGGGTCTAGCTACAAGTGTCGAGTCTAGTCACAAGTGTCGGGTCTAGTGACAAGTGTCGAGTCTAGTGACAAGTGTCGGGTCTAGTGACAAGCCTCGGGTCTAGTGACAAGTGTCGGGTCTAGTGACAAGTGTCGGGTCTAGTGACAAGTGTCGGTTCTAGTGACAAGTGTCAGGTCTAGTGACAAGTGTCAGGTCTAGTGACAAGTGTCGAGTCTAGTGACACGTGTCGGGTCTAGTGACAAGTGTCGGGTCTAGTGACAAGTGACAGGTCTAGTGACACGTGACAGGTCTAGTGACACGTGACAGTCTAGTGACAAGTCTAGTGTCATGATAAATGTCAAAAATACTACATGAATGTTAACGGTTGTACATATGACACATTTTTTTTCACCCATCCATTATACTGCTGTGATTATGTTTTTACTTGTCAGTTTTGTAGTATTTGATTTAATTTAGACTAGGCTTATACGATTATTTTATTGTCATTTAAAATAATGCGAGTATTTGGTATACCTATTGTTCGACAATGAACTCTGTAGATAATACGCGAGGAAGTTTAATTAATAGGCTATTTCAATCTGAGGGTTAATGGTATGGTTTTGAAATTTGAACACCGGTATGAACTGGTGTAGGGTTTAGGAGTGTTGACATAAGTTATATTAAACGACATACTCTCAAATATTGGTGGGTCCGTTCGTTGGTGGTTTGTACTCTCAGATTGAGTGATATCGTTAGAAATATGGGATAGGCCAATGCTAGGCGCTGGGTATGGGTTTACATAGATATTATCAAGCCATAATTGTATTTACTTAACTACCAGTAATAAAACACCTGTAATAAGAATATTCGATTATCGAACACTGGCACACAACATGTCAGTAGTGTGTATATTTCGGATAAATGAGTATATGAATGTTAAATAATACACTTCCGATAATATTTTATGTTATTAGTAGTATCGTAATCTCTCATGACTTATTGTATGGTAAGAAATTATGATTAGGCTTATGGTAGGACTAGGGCTGGGGGGGGGGAGGGTTAGAAATGATGTAACAATTGTATTTATTAACTATCATAACCTAATACACATTTTTAACAAAATCAGTGTGCCAATAAATAAATATAATAAATACACAGCATTTTTTTTCAAAGACGTATAGGCACACTAAGTATTAAACAATATAAATAAGATGCAACTTACGTTTATTTAAAAACGGGAAGTTGATACACTGCATGTAGATTCTAAAACTCCTCACAATAAATATAAGTCAGAACAACCGCTTCAGTAAGTGTCCCTTGTGTGTTCCCGTGTGAGTTCGTCAGTAAAGTGAAGTGTGTGGTGAATGTGTAAGCGTCATGTTTATAAATACAACTCACACATCCGCGAGGTCAGGTGACCTCCGCGAGGTCAGGTGACCAATGATCACCACTTAGGCCACGCCCACTGTCCACCGTCCTCAAGGTGGTGTTTGGGCCGCTTTGGCCAAAAATAGAATCAACCTTGAGTTCTCTACCCCACACCTCCCCCTCCACACACCACACCTGCCCAACCCTCCACACCTCCCCCCCCCCACCCCCACGGACCAACCCTGCAACATTGCCCGCACCTAATCCTCTCTTCACCAATAAAACACCACCTTGTGTATGAGGTCAGTGTTCAATGAAGCGGAACCGCCGCTTTTCATCAACACCACTCAGGTGTGCTCCACCCTACCTCCACCCCCATTCCCAGATGGTAATTCTATCATCACTTCTCATTTGGTTTTACTTATCAATTTTTTTTCATTCAGCTACATACACTGTCAAATCTTTAACAAAATCACTTTACTCATGATCTTCTTTTATCGTTCTCTAGAATGGTGTCTTAACTTGTTCATATATTGGCGATATATTATTACGGCCGGACCGCGTGTTATGTGTGTGGAGTTTGTGTGTGTGTGTGTGTGTGTGTGTGGAGGGGGAGGGGGGGGGGGGGGCGAGGCGGGAGGTGGTCGGGGAAGGGGACAAATACCTGAAAATAAACATTCGCATACAAACACACGTGAAATCGTAATATATTGCAATATCTTAAAAACTAGAATTGATAAACAAATTCCAATTTTTGTTTTTACTTTTCCAATTATTTTTTTTAAATATCAAGGGAAACAAATGTTAACTATTTGAATACATCGCAAAAATAATGATAGGTTGGCTCAATGGTAATAAAATTTAAAAAACCCTAAAATTACGAGCTATTCAACAGATTCAGTAAAATTAAATAAAACAAACTTGCTTTTCTTTATTAACAACATTGAACGCTCATAAGAACTCTTACCTCATAATATTTTCCCGTTTTCGTCCAAAGCACATGGGGCAGATGAAGTAGAGTTCATCTGTTTCAGTGATTTCAGAGATAAGATGGTCAGCACTGTGCATGGGCTAGTTTATTTTCCCTGATGTGAGTTAAGGTACCCATTAAAGCTGGGTGGAATATTGCTTGAAGTGTTAGTACGTTGCCTTAACGTTTTTAATAGCTTTAAGGGAGACAATTTCAATATATTCATCCAATCTAAAAATATGAAACAAAAACCGAGTAACATTATAGTTTAGAAAAAATATAAATGTTTTTTAAAGTATAATATTTAGCAAGTTATATAGAAATGAAATTATTTTACAAAAATTTTAGATTGTATAATTATTATGTTACTATAAGATTAATCTCAAAACATTTAAAGTTTCAATTATTTAATAGTAGAACAAAAAATACTTTAAATTCAATTTAATTTCTGCACATTGTTACTGTGGTTAAACTGAAAACAGTCGTAAAAATAATTAATCCTATTTTGAATACATCTAATATATAAAGCTCAGTTCTGTAACGCGTGGCAAAAAAGTTTGTCGTTGACAGTTCTATGGATTTAAGTGTTAGATTTTTTATCGTGCTCGAAGTCTAAATTTAAGAGTCAAAAAATTATCATTGAAAGTCTTTAAAAACAATTTTCATTCTATTTACTTAGAAGAATAATTTTCAATTATGAACATGACATAAAATTTTTAAAAAGTGTATCGACGTTTATAAAATTTCTAAAATTGTGTCGGAAATGTATTGACTGCACAGTTACTTCCCTTTAATAAAAAATATTCTTAAGAAGAAAGAATTTACATTTTATTACTTTGTTTTTGGTGTTTAGAAAAAAAAAATAATTACATAATTAGCGGGGATTGATTAAGTGCAATGTCGTTATGTATTTTTAACACTGCCTTTTATTTATTCTATACACTGAACATACTGTTCAATATTTTTTTTTAAATCAATAACATTTAATAAGCCAGGTCCTACAAATCCTATATGTTTATTTCTTTCCATTTACGGATAAGCTTGGAGTATTATCATTTTTGTTCACTAAATTGAAACAGGCGCGTCCGCCGGCGCCCTTGCACGGTTCGATTTGGCACCCTGGGCTATCATGTGAGCGCTATGCTGCATAGTTTTGTTTTTAACAGTGCGATAGACTATGGGTAAGAAAGGTTACTATAGTCTTTAAGTGAATCAAATCCGGGCGTCCTCCGGCACCCCGACAGGGTGCTATTTGGCGCCCCGGGCCTTCCGGTGTACGCTATGGTATATACGTTCGCGTGAGTTCAAAAGACTATGAATAAGTTATGTACTATAGTCGTTTACTAAGTTCAATCAGGCGGTGACGTCATGGTGCGTCCTCTGGCGCCCAGACAGGGTGCTATTTGGGGTCCCGGGCCTCCCGTGTTAGGTTTCGCGCCTACGTTCATTAAAGTGAGTGCAAAAGACTATGAATAAGTTGGGGTACTATAGTCGTTTATTAAGCTGAAACAGGCGATTCCGCCCCGGGCTAGACTCTGAGCACTGTGCGTTTATGTTCGCGTTAGTGTTTTCTTTGTGTTTAGGTTGGGTTTGCGTTAGTGGTTGCGTTTTGATTTGGTTCGTTTTTGTTCTTTCTTTTTTCGTTTTCGTTTGTGTTTTATTTTCTTTGTGTTTGTATTTGTGTTTGTGGTTGGTTTTGCGTTTGTATTTGGTTTGTTTTCGTTTGTTTTTTCGTTTGTGTTTTTTTCTTTGGGTTTGTGGTTGGTTTTGCATTTGGATTTGGTTTGTTTTCGTTTGCTTTTTCGTTTGTTTTTTTTCTTTGTGTTCGCATTGGTGTTTGTGGTTGTGGTTGGGTTAGTTGTTAGGTTTTTGTTTTCGTTTGTATTTGTAATTGTGTTAGCGTTATGTTTGCGTTTTGTTGTTTTGGTTTTGGTTTGGGTGTGCAATGCCGGGTTTATGATGATTACTAAACACACAGGTAATGGTCTTTAACAGAAAGGTTTTTCACAGAAGCCAGAGCAGGGCCTGGCCGGGACGGCTAGTATAAAATAAAAAAATAAAAAAATAAATAAAAAAATAAAAAAAAATAAAAATAAAAAAAAATACTTTTATTAAAAAATGAAAGTAAATTAATTTAAATGCTAAATAAAACTTAGGGGGGGGGGGGGTGGGGCGGGGCGGCTGTAGATGTAGCTCTTAGAAAGATAAATAATAAGTTTATGTACTCAACATATCCAGACTGCTTATAATATTTTCCTTTACTCACGAAATTAGGTCAGCTCTACTTTTAAGCCCATACCCCAACAATTCACCAGACCGAAATGGAAAGACAATAGAAAAGAAGGGAAACAAATTTAAAAAAAAAACATGATCCAGATCGTTGAATCACCATTTAAGTGCACATTTGCATTTTCAGGTTTTAAAAAGAAAATAATAGTACACGTCAGAAAGAAGTATTACTATTGTAAATCTGTATCAGTCCTCAACAGAGTCGTAGCGACCGATTCCGGCGCCAGGGGTGGAATATACATTTTTGCGCCCCTGCCTCCAATTCTATTTATAGTTATTCCGGTCTTTGAAAAAGCGCCCCCCCCCCAAAGTAAATAAATAAATAAATAAATTGGAAAGGTTTGTGGAGCTTCTTAACAGTTACTATCCCACTAGATTTTCCATTTCAGTGCCACAAAATTGATATAGAAAACAGTTAAATCAATGTTAAAAGCCTTGACGTTGTTTATTTTCATAACTTTGACTGTATATAATTTAATACTTCAGCTTAAAATGAGCTTTTCAATTAATAAATGAGCTTTTCAATTAATTTTTCTACCCCTTTTGGCGCCCCCTTAGGATCGGCGCCCGGGGCGGCTGCCCACACACCCTCCCCTAGCCACGCCACTGGTCCTCATAAGCCAATAATGAAAACTGTAATACTAAAGCGAATATGGCAAAATAAACGGACGCTGTAAATTACATGTCTAAGGCAAAAGAAAAATGCAAATTACAAAGGAAGTTTAAAAACGTTACAAATCTGGCCTTTTTTACACTATAAATGTTACTATTTGTTAATACGTTAATTCACATTTTAAAATTATTAGTAATAAAGGGATATAACTGTTACAATACAAAATATAGAGGAATTAAAAGAGTTACGTAACCTAATTCTGCGAAGTGTAACTTTTGACGCATAGCACATGTGATCTAAATGTTTGTATACAGACTGTACAATTGGATCTATGATTATTGTAATAAATATTTAAAATGAACGCACAAAATGGAACTAATTCAGCTATTGTAAAGCTTGACGTTTGGTTCTTGAATATCATATCTCATCTTGCTTGGTGTGGGCGGGTGAGGTTGGTTGGGGGTTGAGATGGTTAAAGGGGGGGGGGGGGGTGGGGGGACAGTGTGACGATTTGGCTAAATAATGTCGGAATTAGAAATTACTTAATTTTTTTTGCTGTCGCTGTTGTTATTTAGGAGGCTTTTATACCAGTGACAAATCAACTGCCTGCTCAAAAATAATATCCTACAGAGGAAATGGAGATAGATTAGCCACACACGTAGGAAGCCTGTATCTAGCATAACAAGACAGAACTTCAATTCGAAATCAAAGAGAAAAAGGAAAAAAAAGAGGCCGACTAATGAAGACCTGGAGACGTGACCCTAAAGAGAAGATCGGATACACCTGGGGACAGTTGGAGAGACTAGCCCATGACAGAAATGCCTAGGAATCTCTCGTCAGCGCCCTATGTCCTAGGAAAGGCGACAGGCTTACCTAACCTAACCTCTTCCAGTAAACAGAAAAAGAAATAAATACCACGCTCAATTCGGTCAAATGTGATCTATTTTAAGCCCTGATTCATAGGCATGCCTATTTTTAGAATTTTCTAACCTAAGTCTGATTGATTTTTTATCATGCAATTATTTAATTCTGCTTTGTGTGTCGACGTGCTAGAATAGAGAGTACGACGGTTGCTCCCCTGAAGGTTTCTTGTTCGAATCCGACT